AAATAAAAAGGAAATCATATAAAGAAAATAACATTTATTTTGTTGTAGTCATGGCGTTTGCAAGATTTTTTGATCGGCACGTCAAAGGAATAACCCATGTTAACCCATAATTTATCTGTAAAGGGTAATTATGGGAGAGATGCTATTCTATCTTCATATTTGTGCAATAAATAAAAAATAAATATTCTTTAATAAAATAAGGAACAATTTAAAATTTCCCACCGTTGGAGTCTTATACGTTATCTTTAATCATAGTTCTATAATTTTAAACCGGTTTTTCCTGTGGCCTGCCTTCTATAAAAAATATTCAAACATTCATTGATTTAATTTTGCAATAATAAATTCTGTTTTTCAGTCGCAATTTCTTTTCTATTGTTTCTGATTGAATTCAATTTTAAATATTTAGTGCAGCAACCGCTGAATAATTATAGCTGAATGTTTGCAAATGACAAGCAGAGGGCAAATCTCCTCTTTGTTGGCCATTGATTATGCAGCTTCAACTTCATATGCCTTCATAAAACTTGATTATGCATGTAGCTCTTAGATTAAAATTTAGTAGATATTCTCGATTATTTAAGGGATACTTGCTATATTTTGCTAAAAAATATTTCAGCCAAATTTATTTTATCTTTTATGCAACACTACAAGTTAAATACGAAATTACGGAATTCCTTTACTTGAACGGAGATGGGAAATTAATTTTACAATGGGTTATTTCTTAAATTCCTTTTAGGTATGGGATATTTTATGGAAATTTTCTTTAAAGGAAGATAATAATTTCTTTCTTTTTCGGAGGGGGCGTAGTATTTTTTTACGATAAAATCGTTATAGTGTTTTGAATAGACAAATTCACAATTCCTTAAAGAAAATCGAAATAAACTTGTCTGTTTTGGTTGAGGAATTGTATTCTTTTGTATCAGTTTATACAGATAATCAAAAATAATGTCGCCGTTGATGTCTAAAGGATATTAGTGCAGAAGAAAAACATTTTCCGGAAGATAACAGTTAGAGATAGAGAAATTAAAACAAAACTGCGAGACCAATGGATTTTAAAAAAGATTATAAAGCCATATTGCGTTATCAACCATTTAAATTTTTTTTTTTTGTATTCGAATTTGTTTTACAACTTTAAGATCGTGATATAAAACTGAGTCTGACGAATTTAATGTAACTGTAATAGTGAACGTAATTAAATAGTATTTTAAAAAATATAATATATTCAGGTTTAATCAGAAGTAAAAGGAATAATTGAAGTGAAAGGAATTTTTTTAATAAATTTTTATGATTCTTATGAGCTTTAAAAATAGTAAGTATATATTTTATTAATATTCTTTTTTTTTTCGTTTGTGAAAAATTTGAACTTTTTTGGAGGAGAAAAAGACAATAAATTATCAGCAATCTTAGTGGTTGCAGAGCTTCCTACCGTTTCTTTTTTCTTTTTTTTTAAATAAATTATCAGCAATCTTGATGGTCGCAGAGCTTCCTGCCATTCTTATTTTTTTTTTTTAAATAAATTATCAGCAATCTCGGTGGTTGCAGAGCTTCCTACCATTCTTTTTTTTAATAAATTATTAGCAATCTCGGTGGTTGCAGAGCTTCCTACCATTCTTTTTTTTTCTGTTAAAAAAATTATGAAGTGGTTTATGCATGTTAACCACAAAAAGCCGAAAATCCGTTTTTACATTAAATATTCAAATTAGTAATCAATTTAAATCAATCAATAGAAATCTATTTATGAATCTAGAAATCAAAGAATCAGCAAATCAATGGGTCAATATATAATGAAATAAGTGAATTATCAGGTTTGCATATGGTAAATATTATTGGTGCTTTTTTACACTTCATTCTTGAATATTAAATTTAATTTTGATTCTTATTACGTACAAGGAGTTCAAACAGAATATATAGTCAATCCGATTCAAATGTAAAAAAAAAAAACTGATAATCTTGCGAAGAAGCTTCTAAGTTTCGCAGCAGTGAAGATATTTGATTATTGTTTTGTTAGTTGTTTTGCAAAATCAGAGTGCCCATTTGAACTAAGGTTGACTGGAACGAAGTTTATGTATATTTTATGGTACAGTTTGCGGATCATGTTGTGTTCGTAAATATCGAAGTATGACAGATTGACAGAAGATATGTTGAAACATTGCTACAAAAAATAAAAACATTTTCTTTGTTTTGAATAAAGATTATTTAAATCTATCAAGGAAGTGCACGTATTAAAAGCCTAGCGTACGAAATCAGGAATATATAGCGGCAAATGCTATATATATATATATATATATATACAGTCGGACTTCTATATAACGAACTTCCATTTTTTAAATTTCTCTATTTTGCGAATTTTTTCGGGGAACCAGGAACAATTTGGAAATTTCTTCGTAAAATAACTTCCAAATAGCGAAGTGAATTTTCTATTTAACGAACTTTTCTTTGAGATCTACTTTCCCTATTTCCCAAAATATTTCAGAACATTTTATACTTGTTAACGCATTTTATGGGGGAAATAACCTTGAATTGAATTTCGAAGCCACTTAACTTTCAGAGAAAGCAATAAAATCACTTTCCCTTCTTGTCCGCATTTCCAGCGACAAAATTAAAGAATTTTATCAGTAGCAATTAAACTTTAAAAAGCATATGGTAATTTATGTTTAAAATTACTTTTATAATAAATGCAGTTATAATTTTATGCGTAAATCTATCTTTTTTTAGTTGAAAATGTAACTAGCATGGTTGTGTAACACTAGATAATGTTTCACTTTCTTCTTGCTTTCCATGCAGATTTCTTTTGCGATTAAGATTTATAAAATAAATTGCAGATACTACTCTACAATATAAAGATGTATCCATTGCTATTTTAATTATGTGTAGTGTTTATGAATTTGAAACCTGTTTTGTGCCGTTTAAGTATTTCAAAAGATGATTTTCTATTTAACGAATTTCCCATACAACGAACTTATTATCAAGATTTAGCGACTTCGTTAAATGAAGATCAGACTGTATATTATATATATA